CAGATTTTAAAATGTGTACAAAGATCTTTAAAAAAAATGCTCTATAGGGGAAGTGGTTAAGGAATGGTCACTCTCTTTACCATAGAAACAAAGAATAAATAGAACTTTAAGCTTCTAAGATGAAACTAACAACTGGTTTTAGTGACCAAGATGTGTTCAATTAAAGCACTTGTTTAAGAAATGCACGGTTTTCAAGTTTTGGGTTTCCTATCCTTCAGTAAGTCACATGCCTGGCATTATTCCAAATTTTTCAGTAGGATTATGTTGATAAACACATTATTACTGAAGTCGGGTATATGCATGAGTGAGCTCACAATTCTGCTCCTCCATAGCAATGCTTCTTTTTGGAGGTGTAAATGTACTTGAAGAAGATTTGTTATTTCAATAGATTTGATTTGACAATCTGTCAGTTTTCCTGCACTGGTAAAAAAGTAAGTCTAACAAAATTATATATTTAATTATAAGAGAAGTCAAGCCTGGAGGACTGGGACAAATTTAGCTTCTCATATGATTTAGATACCCCAACAGTAAGAGCTCTCTGCCATATCGCATTCCATTTGTTAGAAACCATGTGAAATGCAGCAAAACGACATACTAATTTACCATTAATTTTAGTGGACAGCAATTTTAAACAAATGGGAAAATGCACCACTGTCAGATCTATCTATCTATCTATCTATCTATCTATTAATACATACTATACATTTTTTTTTTTCAACCCAGCGATCTGAATGAAAAAAACCTGGCAGATCGCTGTACTTACACAAGTGTTATTAGTGCAGCGATCTCCCCCACTGTGCTATTGTGTTCTTAAAGGGGGGCTGCCTCTGGCCAGAATGCACAGACAGATGCAGGTTGGATGCTGGTTTTCCAGCATGCTTATTCAACAGGTTTCTATCGGACAGACAGCTGTAAATGTGGGCTGAAGGCTGTTTGGTTTCGGCTGATTTTGGCCAATGTTTGGCCTTGTGTGTACCTGGCCTATCTCTATGATTTTATGTATATGTTAGGCAGAGATTCAGAGATTCTCCATGATGACCATTGTCAACAGGAAAGAAAGTGACAGGAAATCCAAAATCTTATAGTTGTTTCTGGATCAGGAATAAAAGTAAAATCTAGTGACAGATATCTGAAAGGGAATTTTCCTTCACTTTGAAGTTTGAATTATTTTCTTCATATGTCTCTAGGTCAGGAAGTGAAGAGAAATCTTGCTAACAAAAACAGCAAAAAATCTTGACAGAGGTTATAACCCTTTCCCAGTGTAAATAAAACAAACAACAATTTTTGGTTTTAGGTATACTTTAAAATGTTGCTATAGTTTTTTCCATTCACGGTAAAGTGACAGTGCCAGTGGATGGTCCCCTCAGGCTTTCAAACTTACAGTCACTCCCAGATATGGCCTCCTTGCTGCAGCATCCCAATCTGTAGGTGTCTGAAAATGCTACTTCTGAGTATACAGTAGCGTGAGACTCAGTGTAGTGTAGCAGTTCTGGTACTAAGTGTGACAATTGTGCGCAATAGAGAAATGGACACTGGACGTGACAGCCATCTTGTTAGGCTTCAGCCGTTTTGTCTCTCCTGTCCTTCCTCTTGAAATGGAATTTATAGCTGTAAGTTGAACGAACTTCAAAAGGGCCTCTTATCTTAACTAAAACACAGATAGATGGAGCTCCAGAGCTGTAAACCGCTAATTAGTCTGGTGCAGGAGGTCTGCTTAGAAAACCACTTTCCTCTGCCCAATCGTAAAACAATAACTCAGTCAGTCATGACCTGTTAGACCATTAGGGCTAGAGCGTGCCATAAAATGTCCATTCCACATGTAGACATTTTGCATACAATTAAAGGTTCAGCAGGAACTGGGCACATTACTTTTAGGTATATATTTGGATAGATCATTTTAATGTGAGTCAAACAAGGCCATACATGACTATATTAGCACCTAGGAGAGAGAAGAAAGCAGCCTCTTACCTCCTGGGTGACAAGAGTATGCTGTGTTTGGTATCCCTGGGTTTGAAATATAATTCTAAATATTAATCTGCCAGTTGCTAGAATACCACCTGTACATACTGGAAGTTATTAATATTGGTATGAAAACTGCAGTTGGGACTTGGTCATAACCTTGGTTACCGCCTAGCACCCATCCCAAAACTGGATGATTGGTCGTTTGTTCTCAGGCAATACCCCTTTAATATCATAGGAAAAGACTGACAGGTCTGGAGAAGAGTGCTCTTGTTTAAAAGCAATCAGGAAACATCTAATGGACTTGAGAGCCAAGGCAATCTTTTTGTTCGGACAATTGGACTTTGCAAAAACCAAGTACATTGCAAGTATTCTACCTTCTGAACTCCTTTCTTTTATTTTTCTGTTGTTTTATTGTTCTCTTTATATCTTTGTAACATCTTTTTCTGCAAATATTTTAATTTCACCATTTTGACCTTTTTAATAATAAATCCTATTTTGAAAAGTATTGAAACTGTCTCTAAAGCTTTTAATGCAAACTAAAGAATTGCTGTCTCTTGAAGAGTGCTACTGTATGTAATAATCCTCTGAATATATCTGTCTGTGGTGACAGTGTGTGTTACAGACGCTTATGCTAATATCAGTGTTACTGCTAAGATTTGTGAGTTTCCTCCTTCTCTGTAAAAAGGTGGTGGGGGGCAGTGTGAAGGGTTAATTGCGTAATTAACCTGACCCAGTAACAATCAGTCAGGCTGCTGGCACATAGATTGTAATCCCACGAACTGGAAAATATTTGTGCAAGATGCAGCTGAGAGTGGCAACTGGCAGCGCGGTGCGAGATCAACTGGTCCTTCGGACATGAGTTGGTGAGAAGGGCAAGGGGTCGGGCACTGTGTTCCATCACACTCAGTGATTGGTTTGGCTCTGCCACATGAGGCTTACCTTATGAAAGTTCTGATCAGTGTGCCTTGGAGCTTACACTTAGTTGTCTTTCCTCACTTCCCCAGTATCTGAATACAGGGGAAGGGGAGCAAAGGAAAAGTAAGTATGTGCTGCTGTGGAGAGGAACATTAAAATGAACCTGTTGCTTTGCTTTTCATGTAAAAAGTTAAGTTCATGTTAAATATTTTACTAGCTAATGTGCTGCTATTATATGTCAGATTAGCTACTGAAAATAATATTAATGGAATGCATTATTGGTTGTTGGCAGTAAAGTGAAAGATATCAGCTGATAGTAAGACATCCATCAGTTTGGAATATGTTTAAGATACCCTTGTAATGCAATTGCAGTAGTTTATATTGTTTATATGAATAACACAAAGACATTTCAGAGCAATTTTTTTTCTTTTATCTCAGTGATTCGTTGATTGCAATTTTTATTATCTAACAACTTTTTAATACAAGCAAATGTTACAATACAGTGAAAGCCAGAACAACACAAGACAGTTAAGAAGTACCAACATATACTAAATCATTAAAGGCAAGTTGATTATTATTGCTCTAAAGAGATTTCGGTGGCATGATGATTATTATTATTATGTTGCTATCCTGTACTTAATCACAGCCAGCACTAAAATCACCAGTGTCACCGTGACGACTAGGGGGAGTGGTGACATCACTCTCTTAATCATGTGACAGTGGCGGAAGGAGCAGAGAGTGAACGTCGGCAAGGTAAGTAGGTCAGGGGGTCCCTAGCAGAGACATTGTGGCTGATTTACTAAAGGAGTAGAAGCTGTTTATTTTGTAAAGTGATTTTTCCCTTTTCAAAGAAATTTTAACTTAGCTTAGTGAATATGTTCACTTTGTAAAGAATACCCAATCACATGCAATAGAAAAAAAAAATGTTTTTTTGCTTGCACATGATTGGATCATTTGAAATCAGATCAACTACACCTCATTCACAAAACTAAGTGAAATTTCACTTTGCAAAGTGAACATGCTCCACTCATTTAGTAAATTAGCCACATTTTGCTCTGCATGGGCAAGGTGACAGTGTTGATTTAAACAACTTATTAACTGGCCTTACTCAGTAATTCAGCAGCCATTGCTCTCGTACAGTTTTGAAAATGAGAAATAGGATCGGATTATCTAAGGGAATTGGAAAGCATTCACTGTTTCATAAAATGGATCCACAATGAATTTCCCAAATATCTCATTGACAGAAAAATTAAGTAAGCATAACTTTACAAGATTTACACTAATATCAATTTATTTTGTTGTAAATCATTATTAGTTAATATCAGCAGACATATGCAATAGGGCCTTGCCAAAATTATTACAAAGTGTAGTAGTAACCATAGCCAGGTTTACATTTACAATATTAGAGCAGTGAAGATCAGATCAGATCAAATAATGACTTCTATATCTTGATGTAGTTAGTACATTCTCATCTTCTAATTTTATAGAACAGTATTATGTCATGATAATGTGGCTTGCAAAGCAGAACAAGCTTCTAAGTACTCCTGGTTGTTTGGATCCATTAGAAGGGCTTTTTCATAGTACTTCAATGCTGCGATGTTCTGTCCTCTTTGCTGGTGGATGTACCCAAGCAAAGCATGTCCAGTAGCATCCATTGAATTTTTGGCAATCATGGTTTCAGCAAGACTTTGAAGTTCACGTATGGCAGTTCCTCTAAACCATGTTTCACTTTGTATCTTTATCACTTCCTTAAAATGCCTCACTGCTTCAGACTCTGATTTTCTAGAATTCATTAAAATATTGTGCCCAGCTGAGATGGAGCTCTTGGTACTGTTCTGATCTGATATCATTCATAGTCAGTGTTTTGTCAAATTCTTCTTTTGCCTTTTGGTGTTCATTTGTTTTCATGTATACAGTAGCTAATAAAATGTGTGCTGCTACAGATGCCTTGTTTAGTTCAACAGCTTTTTCTGAGTAAAAATATTGCATTTTCAATAGCTTCAGCTTCAGCTTCAGCATTTTGCTGCCTATTGTAACGGGTGGGCTTTCTTATCAAACTTCTGTAACACTTGCCAAGTTGATAATGTACAGGACTGGAGGTAGGAGTTAAACTGAGTACTTTCTTAAAAATTTTCAATAGCTTTAATTGCCTGTCTATTTCGTCTGTAAAATGTTGCCACATATCGAAGAACATAAGGGGATTCTGGCTGTTCTTGTAGAGCTTGTTCTATTAACATACCTCCCTGATCATAGTTCTTAATATCTAGATATTTCAAAGCAAGCAGAACCTTCGCCACTGTATCTGTGGGATTTAATTTAACAGCTCTTTCCAGGAGTGGAAAAGATTTGTTTTCTGTGTTGCTACTGAAGCTGAAACCTTCCATTCTATACACAGCCATGGCAAGGCCTGAATTTGATTCTGGATCTTCTGGGTCAAGTTCTAGAGCTTTTTCAAAGCACTCAGCAGCCCATTGATAGTATTTTCCTGTAAAGGACAAGTAAGTCCAGCCTTGTTCACCATATATGTCTAACAGAAGAATGTTTTTCTTTGGAGGAGACTCATATTCCTTTAAAATGGTCTCCACCTTTTCAGCATAGGTGGAACTCTTCATAAACTGCTTCTGGTGGTAGAAAACCCAAGCAAAGTTACCATACATGACAGTTCTCTTAACATCTGCGTCTTCTGATTCGCTGGACTCTTGGATCTGTGCCTCAGCTTTTTGGAGCTGGAGCAAAGCTTCTTCATGGTCTCCTTTGAGATGCTTCAGGTAAGCCAGGAGGTTATACATCCTGTGTTTAAGTGCATCTGGCAAAAAGACAATCTGGTCATTTAGCCTTTCTTCCACATTATCAATGTCTACATCTTCTCCAAGCAGGTTCCAAGTAAAATGGCATTGAATTTGCAGTAGACGATCCATCAAGGAATTCTTTAAGATGTCACTGAAAAGTTAAACAAAAAGAAAACCATGTATTGAAAAGAGTAATGAATCATTAAGTGAAGACATGTTTCCAGGGTTATAAATGAGGGCCACACGACTGGCTAACTTGCCATAAAATCTCATTGGCATTATACAGTATGTTGTTTGATTCAAAACATGTTATTATTTGAGGTAGCGGGAATTTACACTAACAATAAGTTCAGAAAGTGAGTAAAAAAAATTGCACAACAGTTATCAGTTTATAAAATAAGTAATGTGTTACTGTCCACAGCAGCCTACTAATCTTCTGTGCATTCATTCTAAACCAATGTTCTATGGAACCCTACGGTTCTTTCTTGAGTTTTCTATGGGTTGAGCATTGATGAATTTCTGTCTCTCGTAATCATAGACATTATTGAATGATCTTTTTAACTATCTGTGTGAAGGGCAGTCTTCCTACTGATCAACAAAGTAAGAATTCCACTTTTCAACAGCCCATTTATTATATTGCAGGTTCCCAATTCTTACATGTGATGGCTACATTAGTTTTCTTTATTAGGCTTCCTCTCTTCTGTTTTCACCTGGTGATCCAGGCAGTAAATCTCTTGTTTTTTTTTTTTTTTTTTTTTAAAAAGAACAAGCTCTCATGCAGACTGTATCAGTGTACAGAGATGAGACAAACCATTTAACACTGGCAGTGGTGCTTACAATTATCAACTTTTATTTCTTTATGTAAAACCTTTGTCCCAAAAAGGAAAAAAACAGTTTGCTGTGACTGATTATAAAGTATGAGCGGTAGTTTGGCTTCAATGTGTTAGTGTATTTAAATCTGCTAGCACATCTAACACTACCTCCCCCCAGACTATCAATGCTGCTGTCTGTTGTACCCCCTGTCATGTTTCACATGACTGTCATATTGACTATCATATGCCTTTAAATGTTTTCAGTGTTTTGTCTCTGCTCCTCCCTTTCCTTTAGGTTAGCTAATGTTGCATAGGTAGCCCTCCCCCCTTCCCAGAGATGCATTGCAACAGCCTCATGGCAAGAAGCAGAAGCAGTATTTTCTTTCGACCTATCAAATGTTTCTTTTAAGATTCTCTCAGTTTATGGAATAAACTTTGCAATATCTGCAAGATATCATTCTGATTGAGTCACTGACTGTGGACCCCAACTAAGGTTGAAGTTATCACTATCTCATCACGACTGTAAGTTACAGAGATCACACTATCAATGCTTAGATTGGACACACAGAACACCCCTGTGCTCATTCATCCAGAGTGGGGGTATAGGATGTGTAATACTGTCCCAATCACCAGGTGAAAAAGGAAAAAAAAGCTATAAAAAATGGAAAATTTAATGTAGCTACCACATCTACTGATTGGTAAGTTGCCATACATTACATCTTTGGTTTTGGGTTTAATACCTGTTTAGGTAAGGGGGCATTCCTACACTGAACACCAATGTTAGGGAACGCTATCATTAATACTGTGTTTCTTTTCTGTCCATTTTTAATATTCATTTAATTTCATGAATATTTCTGAAAATAATTTTGTTTTATGGGGGGGGGAATAAAAATGATTTTTCTGGGGGTGTCAAATACTCAAGGCATGTGGCATTCTTTATTCTTTTGTTTATTATTATAGTTACAACTCATGGATCACACTAATGTTCCATGAACAGGGATAAGCTTAAGATTCAGAACAGATTTATTCTGCAAGTGAATGGAATTCTAACGCTATATTTCTGCCATTGAATGGAAGTAAAGTCTAGTTACATGGTCATTTTTTTTGTTTGTTTTTAGGCATGCACAATTTTGCCTTGTTGATAACTATAATTTTTTGGACCTTTGATAGAAAGTTGAACTAAACTTGCTATCCTCCGATCCACCGAGGACAGCTTCATCTTAGTCTCTTTTTATATCTGCATTTGCCATGGTGCTGCATGTGTGATCAGCTATAACACCAGCCATTTCCAGGGCATGAAAGAATGCCTGATTGCTTGTTGGCAGGTGCAATTAGCCCGTGTCACAACCTGGTTCACCTGCTGGTGGCACTGTGCTGATCTGGGCAAAAATCTGCATTTTAGTGACCACCAGCAGGTGTCTCCCAGCAGTCAGCAGGTTCCAGCAATCAGCCCACATGGACACACCTGCTGGGAGGATACTTAAGTTCCACTTCTGCTATGGCTCCTGGCGTAAGTGTTTTGGCTGATCCTGCCTTGTACCCTGTTTGCTGTGCTGTGCCAGACTCTGTTGCTATTAAATCTCACTTATATGGTTTGGTCCCAGTTTCTTGGTGTAGCAACATATATCTAAAAACACAATAGAGTATGCGCCAAATAAGGAAAGGTCAGTGACATATTAAGACTAAAAGTCTGTGAGTAAAGTCCATGAAAGGAAGGAGGGTAGGGAATGATAGTTCATTCAAAGTGTTACTAAACCCCGAACCCTGCATTCACTATATCTGGTCTCCCAAAGTACACAGAACATGGAAATGCAATTATTTTAGTAAATATAAACTGCTAAATACCTTTTCTCATCAGCAGTTAGAGCAGTCTTGTGACTTCTATCAGTGTCCAGCTGAGCACTAGTTAATATTGTCTGAGGATTTTTCATTCTGCTCTGAATGTCCTATGAGGCTGCATGACCCCTGACCCTCTGTCTGGACAGTGCTGATTGGCCCTGTGCTGATCACATGCACCCTCCCAAAAGGAAAAAACTCTATAGCCATACACACTAAACTGAGCATGTGCAGAGTTACTCCTTGAGCTCTGCTCTATCAGCAGATGGATTGGAGACTGTGGAAGAAGGGGAGGATCAGAGAATTCAGGATCAAACAGCCTTTTACACAGTACGGATGTTTAACCCCTTAGGTTCCACAATGAGTATAACAAGCATGCTTTACTGCATATGCAGACTGATTTTACTGTTGTGGGTTTAGTAACACTTTGAGGCAGTGGATCTTCAGAGCAGAAGCGTAATCCATGTATACAAATGGAAGACAAAAGCAGAAAAAGTGCCTCTAAGTGTAGTATGACAAAACCATTTATTGTAAAAAGGGTGTGTGGCTCACAATTAGCCCAGCAATTCCCAGCAAGTGGCTGAGGTTTGGGATTTTCCTGCCCCCCCCCCCCCCTGGTGCCCTAAGGCAGCTAGCTAAGCAGCCTTATGCTGGTCCCCAGCATAAAGCTGCTTAGGCAGCTGCCTTAGGGCACCAGCGTAGCTGGGGGGCAGAAAAATCCCAAGCCCCTGCCACTTGCAGGAATTTCAGATTTTTAAAATACCTGCCTTCCGACGATCCCCTTTATTGTCCTCCTGAAGCAGCTGAAAGCAAGCATCTCCTCCTCGCCCTCCCACCAGCATACAGCTGCTGCAGGAGGAGAATCCAGGAGACTAGTTCTAGTAAATGCCTCCCGCACTGCCCCTCCCATCCTTGTTCCTCCTTGGCCCCTCCCCCAAGTGCTCCCCTTTCAAAAGGGCTCCTAAAAAAAATTGTGAGAAATATAAAAATATAAAAATGTAAAAATAAAAACTACTGACACCATCCACTGACCTACTGACACCAACCTCTGCCCTACTGACACTGTCCATTTCTCTGCTGACACCATCCAATACTCTACTGACTGACACCAACCTCTGTCCTACTGACACTGTCCACTGCCCTACCGACTGACACTCATTTATTTTTAAGGTAAGCTAAGTTTGTATTTTTACAGTGACATTTGTTTAGTTATATTTTTCTACATTTTCCTTGCTATTTGCCTTGCTAGTTTTTTTTTTTCTTTTTAAATGGCTCTGAACACAGATGATCTTTGATCTCTTTCATGTTGTTCAGGTAGATCTCCACCTCTCAATGGTTGCCTACCCCTGACATAGAGGGTTTGGGGAATATGTACTTTACAAAGGTTGCTTACAAGGAATATATCATTGTTTGATATTTTAGTTTAGCTCACAAGAAGTGACAAGGGCATTGCAATTTTGGCAAGATCAATAGGTATTTTTCTGTATTTGCTGAAAATGTTCTGAGCCTGAAAATGAATGCAGTCATCACATCTAAGGACTGCTAAACTGCCATATGTTGCATTTTTGTTCTTGCTTTAAAATGTTGATATACTGCAAAAAAGAATGTAGGCAAAGCACACAACCCTGCCACAACCCATTACATGGAGAATTAATACATAGAAAATGATAGACCCACTGGTAATTTTTGGTACTTTTTTACACTGGTTTTTGAAATATATAAATGCAGCAATTTAATAATTGGACAAAAAATTGAGCACAGTTAAAAACACAGTTTTATAATTTACAGTTACACAATAGATACATAGTGCATTTTTACATAGGTACATATACCACACCAAAGTAAGGGTCAAATAAAAAGGAAAGGACAGAGGGATTTTGTTACAAAAGATGGACAGTCCCTCTCTAATTCAGAGACAGTTGGGAACTGTGTACTCTCCTGGTTATATAGTATGGGCCCATATAAAATACACAGATCTGCAGTATATGTAGCAGTGACATGGTTTGTAAATGAGTTGGTTACAACAAATTCTCAGCATATTTTATTTGCAACTTTGTCTTTTTTATGCTTGGTATACCAGTAGATTAAAATGGAAAGACAACCTATTGCTATTGTGGTCTCCCTATAAGGTACTTTTTCGTTATATGATCCCCCTCTGTCAAAGATGAATGAAGGAGAATGTAGTGAAATATGACTCGATCAGCAGGTGCCGCTGTCAGTAGACAATGTCCCAGTGCTGTTTAGACATACAGTATATTGCCAAAAGTATTGGGACGCCTACCTTTACACGCATATGTTCAATATTGAGTTGGCCCACCCTTTCTAGCTATAACAGCTTCAACTCTTCTGGGGAAGGCTGTCCACAAGGTTTAGGAGTGTGTCTATGGGAATGTTTGACCATTCTTCCAGAAGCGCATTTGTGAGGTCAGGCACTGATATTGGACGAGAAGGCCTGGCTCGTAGTCTGCACTCTAATTCATCCCAAAGGTGTTCTGTCGGGTTGAGGTCAGGACTCTGTGCAGGCCAGTCACGTTCCTCCACCCCAAACTCATTCACCCATGTCTTTATGGACATTGCTTTGTGCACTGGTGCGCAGTCACGTTGGAACAGGAAAGGGCCATCATCCAGCTGTTCCCACAAATTTGGGAGCATGAAAATGTCCAAAATGCCTTGGTATGCTGACACTTTAAGAGTTCCCTTTGCTGGAACTAAGAGGCCAAGCCCAACTCTGAAAAACAACCCCACACCATAATCCCCCCTCCACTAAACTTTGCACTTGCCACAATGCAATCAGGCAAGTACCGTTCTCCTGGCAACCGCCAAACCCAGACACGTCCATCGGATTGGCAGACAGAGAAGTGTGATTCCTCATTGCAGAGAACACGTCTCCGCTGCTCTAGAGTCCAGTGGCGGCCTGTTTTACACCACTGCATCCGATGCTTTTCATTGCACTTGGTGATGTAAGGCTTGGATACAGCTGCTTGGCCATGGAAACCTATTCCCTGAAGCTCTCTATGCACTGTTGTTGTGCTAATCCGAATGTCAAATGAAGTTTGGAGGTCTTTAGCTATTGACTCTGCAGACAGTTGGCAACTTCTGCCCACTGTGCGCTTCAGCATGTGGTGACCCCGCTCTGTCATTTTACATGGCCTACCACCTCATGGCTGAGTTGCTGTTGTTCCCAGTTGCTTCCACTTTGTTATAATACCACTAATGCAGGCTATAGAAGGTTCGTTTATCAGCCGATTTTTCGTCCGAAAGAATAATCGGCTGATTTTCGCACTGTTAGTGGGCAATGGCATCGGCCGATTTCCTCCTCATTTCTTTTATCGGTCATGCTGGAAAATTAGCGAAACACAGATGATTTTCGCAATCATTGGTGGCAACAGAACGACTGGTGTTTCATTTTTTCAGACAAAAAAATTGGCCGATAAACGTCCTCTATGGCCTGCATAACAGTTGACCGTGGAATATTTAGTAGCAAGGCAATTTCACAAATGACTTATTGCACAGGTGGCAACCTATTCACTCTTGAATTCACTGAGCTCCTGAGAGCGACCCATTCTTTCACAAATGTTTGTAGAAGCAGTCTGCATGCCTAGGTGATGATTTTATACACCTGTGGCCATGGAGGGGATTGGAACACCTGAATCCAATGATTTGGAGGGGTGGCCCAATACTTTTGGCAATATAGTATATCTTTGATATAATCCTTTTGCAGCACAAAAGCAGATGCAAAAGGGCATCTGATCCCTTGATTGCAGTCATACATGTGCACAACATCATGTAGATCCAAATCTAGGTGCAGGGAATGTATACATGGATTTTTCATTATTGCTTTTTTTTTTAAGTACAGCCAGCACAATCCATTGTCTGATAATGCAGGAGAATAAAACATAAAGGGACATTATGCAGTGGCAAAATAAAAGTAATATGCAAAATTGAAAATATTTATATATTGTATAATACTTAAAAATGTAAGGTCACAAAATAATGCATGAAAAAGAAACACAAAATGTGCTTATTTTACAGCTATTTAAAGCAGAGCCACATAAAAAAAAATAAATGCATCCCTTAGCAACAATATGAGTATGTACACAGAGATGGCTAGAAGATACATTTAAAGCTCGAAGTGTCTGGTCACTGCTGGCACTTTGGATGATAATAGTTTATTTACCTCATTCTGCGGTGTTCGTCTTCGCGTGTATTGTATGTGCTGTTGTCGAGCTTCCTGATGTACCTGCTGGATGAGATTCCCTATATAAAGTTACGTTCATACCATGTGACCATGTCCCATGATGATAAAATGAAGAATGGAAAGTGAAACTTGGTGCTTGCAGTGTCATTTCCAGAGCAGCAGCTACTGTCAGACCTGGGGGTGAAAAGGGGCTTCACTAGGGGGCTACTGTGAACATTTAACCCCTTCATGTCTGGGCATTTTTACCCCCTTCCTGTCCAGGCCAATTTTCAGCTTTCAGCACTGTCACACTTTGAATGAATGACAATTGTGCGGTCATGCAACACTGTACCCATATAAATTTTTTTTGCATTTTTTTGAGACAGATAAAACTTTATTTTGGTGGTATTTATTCACCACTGGGATTTTTATTTTTTTTTTTGCTATATAAATGAAAAAGTCCAAAAAATTTTTTAAAAAGTGTTTTTCTTATAAAATTTTGCAAATAAATAACACAGGTCTGCAAAAAAATTTTTTTCAAGAGCTGTTTTGGTTATTCCATGTAATCTTTATGTTTGTTGGTGCGCTCAATCCAAAAATGACCTCCATTTTGTCATAGGACATCACGTTTCCTGACAATTTAGGTAACTATGTTAAATAAGGCAATACCTCAAAATAAATGGAAATAGACTTATAAAATTACAGTTTTATTACACTTTTTCATGAAAATCCTTTTTTGAACTGAAATGAGCTCACCTACACACACTAAACTCGATTCTTCTTCCCTGTGAGGCTCCTCTTGGTGCATTTACGCTTGTGAGTAGCATCTGGAATGTCTCTCTGAAGCATCCAACAGTAGTCTGCCATCATTGTAATGCTCCATTTTGCCTGGTATCTCCTTTCCATCTCTTTAATGTCTTGGTGGAATCGTTCACCTTGTTCCTCACTCACAGCTCCCAAATTTTCAGGAAAGTAGTGAAGGTGGGACTGGAGGAAACTCAAACTCATCAGGCAACCTAAAGCTTGAAATGGTTTCAGCATTCGTCCGACGATCTTTTTGTAGTGAGGATCTTTGTTATTGCCTAAAACTTTCTGTATGACTTCTTTAAATGCAATCCACCCTTCTTTTTGAGGATCCGTCATGGTATTGACAAACTCTTGATCAACTATAAGCCTTCTAATGTCTGGTCCGACGAACACACCTTCCTTCAATTTTGCCTCCGACAGGCCTGGAAACTTGGTGACCAAGTATTTGAAGCATTCTCCATCTCTTGGAAGTGATTTTACAAATTGCTTCATCAATCCCAATTTTATGTGGAGAGGTAGAAGAACTTTATGGGAAGGTACCAAAGTTTCTCGGAGGACATTTTTTTCACCAACTGTTAGCACCCTCGGCTGCCAACTCTTCTTTGCCAACTCTTCTTGGTCCAGTGATTTTGTCGGTCTGGACTGTCCCATAGACACAGAAATCAAGGGTATTTGGTATCCCACCCACTGGATTCTTCAGGAAAGATTAACCCCTTCTACCATTACAAGCACAGACTCGGGGCTGAGGCTTACACATACAGCATGCTGCTGAGTATCCCAGTAGTCAGACATGTCACTCAGAGCAGCACTTGTATTCACCCCCTTTGCAGGGGGGGAGGGGCAGAGATTGTTTACCTGCAAATAACAACAAAGGGCCAGAAGAGAACTAGGGAAATGAGGAACTAGAATTTGTTTTCGCTAAAACTTGCTTAGCTTATGTATATATTGCTGACCATCAGATTTACAGTGCTATATTTTTTTTTACATAACTCGGACAACCCCTTTAAGGTTTTTTTGACATTTTATATCTTAAATGCACTTATGTGAATTAATTATAGTAATTTAGACTTTAAATCTGGTTGAAAACCTATAATATAAAAAAAAAATACCAAAAATTAAAAACATTTGATAAATTTGAAGACAATTTTGCACTTTGTGGCAAATCATGACGTCTAGTTTTTTCAATATTTTATTTGTTTTCAGCACACCAAAATACATGGAAGTTAGATGAAAATAATCAAACAGCTTTTTAGTCGCAGACCTGTGTAATCTTTCTTCATAAATCTTGGCCAAAATGTATTCAGTTATATTTTAATAAAAAAAATAACTCAAATTCGTTTATAACCAAAAATTATAATTTTATATAACCATAGTGATACTGTACTACTTGTGGGGGGTGATGAAGATTTTTTTTTTTCTACACTGATTGCTTTTACACCCATAAAAGCTGGAAAAACAATCATTTCTCCTCTCTGGCTACATTCTTGCAGCCATTGAGAAATACTGTGTGAGCTGCAATTGGTCACAGCTTGTCACATGGTACAAGGCTTTTGTGAATAGCCCTGCACCATGTGATCTCTGTGATCATCACACAGATTTCACAAGTAGTAAGCAATGATGTCAGGAAGTGACATCTTGCTTAATACTATTCATGTGATCACTGATTGGCCAATCAGTGATCACATGATTGGGACCTCACACCGAGGTCCTGTACAGCGATCGGTGTTCGCACCGGATCGTGGTGCCGCGCACTCTCAGTGAGCGAGCACAGTCCAAAATGGCGGGCGCCATTTATGAACGGCAACCCGCCCCTGCACTGTCCCCTTCTGGCCATTTATATACATGGGCTGGACGGGAAGTGGTTAAACATAGAAAATTGAGTACATTAAAAAAACATGCAATCATCACTGCAATATTAAGAATTGCAGAGGTCACTGTTGAAACTGACTCTGTACCCCCATGTGTCATTTCAGCTAAAAAGATCTGACATCAGACATATCCAAGGAGATTTCAGAATTGCTGTCGCTGGTCATAGATTCCATTTGCAGGCTGTTCAGTAAGGAAAATGTGTTTAGCTGTCTTGACAATTCAGTAGGGTTAAAGAGGCACAAAGAGACAAAAAGTGAGGGTACATCTCTCTAATGCGGGGTCGGCAACGAAAATATGAAAAGTTCATTTGTCCAGCTCCTCCTCCCGTCCTTCATCCTGAGCCCTGCTGTCTTCCACTCTCCACTGTGCACTGAGAATGTAAGCAGCAGTGGAGGAGGCTGGAGGAATGGGGGGCAGAAGACATTGCTGGGTGGGGGGGGGGGGGTCAGAGGTCACTGCTATGGGGGAAATGGGGGGCAGAGGACACTACTGGGTGGGAGGTGATGTGCAGAGGACACTTCTATGTGAAGTGACCTCTTGCCCCCTTCCCACCCAGCAATGTTCTCTGCTCCTCCCCCCCCCCCCCCCCCCACTAGCAGAGTCATCTCTCCCTCCTTTCCTCCCATGGCCAGGTATTTTAAAAATCTGAATTCCCAGCAAGTGGCTGGGGATTGGGATTTTTCCCCCCCCCCCCCACCCTGATGCTCTAAGGCAGCTGCCTAAGCATCCTTATGCTGGCGCAAGGCATGCAGTTGCTTAGGCAGCTGCCTTAGGGTACCAGGCTAGCTGGGGGGGGGGGCAGAAAAATCCCAATCCCCTGCCACTTGCATTCAGATTTTTAAAATACCTGCCTTCTGACAAACCCCATTATTGTCCTCCTGGAGCAGCTGGAAGCTAGCATATCCTCCTCGCCCTCCCACCAGCATACAGCTTCTGCAAGAGGAAAATCCAGGGGACTGGTTCTAGTAAACACCTCCCCTGCTGCCCCCCATGCCCCTCCCATCAGTGTTCCTCCTTTTTTTCTGTTGCCTGGCCACTCCCCCAGTGCTCCCCTTTCAACAGGGCTCCTAAAGAAAGTGTGAGAAATATTAAAAAATAAAAATGTAAAAATAAAAACTGACACCATCCACTGACCTACCGACACCAACCACTGCCCTACTGACACTGTCCACTGCTCTGCTGACACCATCCACTGCTCTAGTGACTGGCACCAACCTCTGACCTACTGACACCGTCCATTTTTAAGGTAGGCTAAGTGTGTTTTTTTACAGTGACATTTGTTTTATTAAAATTTTCTACATTTTCCTTGCTATTTAGTTAGATCTTGCTAAACCCCGGTGATCTTTGATCTCTTTCATGTTGTTCAGGTAGATCTCCATCTCTCAAAGGTTGCCTACCCCTGCTCTAATGGAACCATCAATAGCAGTAGAACCCAACAGAAGTCCTAATTCTTCACCACACTGTCCAAAAATAGAAATGTGTTTGGCTTGACATAGACTTTAATGGGTTATTGATTCAATAGAAAGTGCAATATTTCACAGCAAAGAGAATGCCAAAAAACTTGTCAAAATTTGGAGACAAGGACAGCAATTTCCCAGAGAGCATTTATTAAAGATTTGTTAATTCCATAATTATTATGACAATCACACATGCAGAACAACATGGGAAAGTCAGGAAGTGCAATTCAAGTGCAGAGAAAACATTACAAAAGAATAAAGGGTTAACAGACAAAAAATTGCTCTCTAACTTCACTGCTTTTTGATAAATTGATGATACGTTCTATATTGATATAAGATCATTTAACTAGTTCCCCTCTAAGGCACTTTTTTTTTCATGTTTGCACACGTTAAAATCTGCATTTTGGCTATACAAAAATACTTAAAACTGTATAATATATAATGTAATTTCTGAATATAGAGGCATTTTAGAATAAAAAAGATGGGTGTTGAAATTTTTTACATTTCACAGTGTTTGCACAGTTGTTTATAAAATGCATAAAGAAGGGGTTGCATTAAGTAAATAGATACCAAACATATCGATTCTTAAAATTGTGTGTGCCTGTAATATGGCGAAAAACTATAGCAAACAAAATTCTCCTTAGGTAACACTCGACTTTACAAATTGTAAATTTAGAACTAACCGTGAATTATGGTCATAGAATTATTGCTCTCATTTTGTTGTATGCAGCGATACCTTACAAATGCGATGCAGGTACGGCTTACATATGTGTATGCACCATGTGCTACGTTTGCATCTTCAGCAGTGTGCAGGGTTATGCTTAATGTTATAAATTAAATTCTATTATCATTTTATTTTTTTTTTTTTTTTTACCCTTATAGCTGTCACAAGGGAACTAACAAGCCCCCTATGTAATAGCATTGGGTAGATGACAGGTACTCTTTATGAAGAGTAGACCTCCACCCCCCCCCAATGTTTCCCCTGCCATCCACAGCAGCAAATCCAGGACAGATGTAGGCATATGCCCACTTTTGGGGTGCACCTCTTGGTATTGTATTGCACTTTGTAATGTATTAGTGAGTTCTGTTAGCAGGCTGCCCAGGGGGTTAGGTAGGGGTTAAGGCTGCTAACTCCCGGGTGTTCATAGCTCTGCCCTCAAGGGGAGACAGCCTATCTGGGTCTTTTGGGCCTTCCACATGGGAGTTGACAGAAAGGGGTGATGCAAGATGTAACTCTACCAAGAACACGTAGTTTCCCTTTTGGAGTACCCAGTCAGGGTAGTGGAGCTGGAACATGGACCTTTCATAAGTGACTTCCCTTCTGCTTAGAGGTATGACATGTGCAGGGCAGGTTAACTGGAACTGTTATGAACTGGTAAAGAGACTGCATCCTATTAATTTTGTACAGGAAAGAAGGTTTAGAAAATGTTCCCGAAGTTAGCAAAATCCTGGTCTGAAGTTCTTTAAAAGGGGTGCATTAGGGTACGTGGCACATAGAAAGAACAGGGCCTGTAAAACAGAATGGGATGAAATGGAGAAGATAGAGAGCCACCATGTAGGGGTTAATCATGCAGTGGATTTAGTGGACGATATGGCTAAGATGTCACTGCTATGAGTAACCAGGACTGGTGAGAATGCTGATCAGCGGGAAGGTAATACCAGGGAATGAGGAGGCAAGTCAGAATGGGACACAGGCTTCACAGTAAAGTAATGTATAAAATGTATCTGTGCAAGGCAAATGACTTGTTTCTAAGTTAGGGTACCGCCTTAATGCTGTTTCTCACATGGCCCTGTACCTATTTCCTGGGCATTAGAGAGCACGTTCGCAAAGGGTCCCTACCAGGGGCGGACTGACCATTCGAGCACTCGGGCACTGCCCAAGGACCCGGGGTCAGTAGGGGGCCCCATGAAATGCCCCTAGTACCCTTTTATAGGCTTTTTTGGGTGTGCTTTGAATGTGGGCAAGGACACAGGGGCCCCGTGATCCCCTATTGCCCGGGGGCCCCATGAGTTGCCAGTCCGCCCCTGGTCTCTGCATTGGGCAAGATGGCCCACCCACACAGATCATACTTGACTAGCTGCTTCCCTGGCTACATTCAAAAACACTTGATGTTCCCTATTCTCCTCCTGTTACTGCTAGATATCCTGAGACTGTTTGTTGTGGTCCCAGGCTCCCGGGAACCACTGAGCGGGAACCACAGCCACACGGAACACTGGAGCCAGCTGAACAACATAGTAGCAAGTTCATGGCTTCTTTTGCAGCTATCATCTTGTTTTAAACCTGTACTCTCTTGGAGAATATAATGTGTATGTATTTATATGCAGTGTATATGTATTTTGTATGTAGAGTGTGTGTAAGTATGTTGTAGGTGTATGCAGTGTATATGTTCCATGTACTGTATGTATAAGCAGTGTGTATGCATGTTGTATGCAGTGCATGTATGTGTATGCAGTATGTATGTAAGCTGTGTGTATATGTATGTATGATGTATGTACGTTACATACACCTTACCCCTACACTCTGCATTAGTCACTCCTGGCCCCTACACTCTGTACATAACACACTCAGCATTATGCACATTACAAACCCCAGACCTCTGCACTATGTAGGTTGTATAGTTCCAATTTCTGCACTCTGTATTCAGACTCAAGTTATAATCCCCCCACTGTTAGCACAATTTTGCCACAGCAATAATTTGCAGCTGGGTACTATGCTTTTAGCCCAGCCCCCTAATCAGCCTCCTACTCTGCCCACATTCCCAGAAATCTGATTTTCAAAAGTTCCCAGATATCCACATTCAGTGTTGTGAAAAAAGTATGTGCCCCTTCCAGGGTTTTTTTTTGCCAATTTGTCAAACTTAAATGCTTAAATGATTCAGATCGTCAAGCAAATTTTAATATTACACAAAGTTAACCCAAGTAAATACAAAATGCAGTTTTTAAATGATGATTTCATTTATTAGGGGCAAAAGGCTGGCCAAACCTGCCTGGCCCTATGTGAAAAAGTAATTGCCTCCTAAACCTAATAACTGATTGTGCCACCCTAGGTGGCAACAACTGCAATCAAGCATTTGCGATAACTGGGAATGAGTCTTTCACATCGCTGTGGAGGAAGTTTGGCCCATTCTTCTTTGCAGATTTGTTTTCATTCAGCCACATCAGAGAGTTTTCGAACATGAATGGCCTGTTTAAGATCATGCCACAGCATCTCAATCGGATTTAAGTCTGAACTTTGACTAGAACACTCCAAAACCTTCATTTTGTTTGAGCCAGAGATG